GCTGGTTGTGGTTGAATGTTTCGGACAATTGAACGTAATCGAGTGGTGAAATCAGTAACATCAGTGTTTATATGTGGAGAAGGATGTAATAACTCTCCAGGCAGTCTAAGTGGCTCACCATATACTATTTCGGCAGGAGAAGTTTTTAAGTCTTCCTTGATTGCACTACGTATGCCTAGTAACACTAGAGGAAGAGCTTCTGTCCAGTTTGTATTGGCGTGGCAGGTTATTGCTGCCTTAAGCTGTCTATGAAACCTCTCGATCATTCCGTTACAGGCTGGATGGTATGCTGTAGTTGGTTTGTGTTGGAATCCTATCATTCTCGAAAGGGCCTTAAAAAGTTCCGACTCAAATTGACGTCCTCTGTCCGTAACCACTTCGCTAGGGCAACCAAAGCGTGCTATCCATCCGGATATCAGGGCTTTGGCGACTGTCTCAGCGGTTATATTTTTGATAGGTATGGCTTCAGGCCATCTACTGAATCGATCTATAACAGTGAGGCAGTACTTGTATTCATTTGATACAGGTAGTGGTCCAACAAGATCTATATGTATGCACGCAAATCTCTTACGTGGTAGCTTAAACGTACCAAGTGGCGATGATACATGTCGAGTTACTTTTGTCTGCTGACATGGGTGGCAGGTTTTGGTCCACTGTCGGCAATCTTTTCTCATTCCAGGCCAGACGTAGCGCTGCGCAATTAATTTTACGGTTGCGTTAGTGCCAGTGTGGCTTAAGGAGTGAAGATTTTCAAAAACCTGACGCCTAAAGGGTTTAGTAACGAAAGGCCTGAGTGAGTCGTTATTGTCATCACAGTATAATTGCGTCTGTGTTCCAGGTATGGTAACTTGACGCAGGCGTAGTGATGTTGTATTCTGTAAAATTTCTTTTAACTCAGGGTCGTTGATTTGTGATTTAGCCAGTGCCACTAAGTCGACAGGTAATGTTAATTCTTCGATTCTGGACAGTGCATCCGCCACGACGTTATCTTTACCTGATACATGCTGAATGTCCGTGGTAAATTGCGATATAAAGTCCAGATGTCGGAATTGCCGTGGAGAGCATTTGTCTTTCCGTGTGTTAAAAGCGAAGCAAAGAGGCTTATGATCTGTGTACACTGTGAAGTGTCTGGCTTCAAGCATATGTCGAAAATATCGGATACCTTCGTAGATTGCAAGCAGTTCCCTATCATACGGAGAATATTTGTTTTGCGTTGGACTTAGTTTCCGAGAGAAGAAACCCAATGGCTGCCAACAATTGTTCTTCCATTGTTGCAGAACTGCGCCTATGGCGGTATCCGATGCATCAGTAACCAATGCGAGTCTTGCATCTGAGTCTGGATGTGCCAGAAGAGCAGCTGTGCATAAGCTTCTTTTGCAGTTTTCAAAAGCTGTCTTTGTATCGCCAGAAATGTTTACTGGATGAGAACCTTTCACTCGTCCTGTCAATAGGGCATGAAGTGGTGCTTGAATTTTTGCCGCACTGGGGATGAATTTGCGATAGAAATTCAGTATCCCTAAAAACCGACGAAGTTCTCTCACCGTCTTTGGTATCGGGTAATCTTGGACGGCTTGTACTTTGGTTTCGAGTGGCATTAATCCTTCTGCCGATACCTTGTATCCGAGAAATACTACCTCCTTTGCTCCAAAGACACACTTAGATGTATTTATGACAGTTCCGTATTCTTTGAGTCTGTCGAATAACTGACAAAGATGTTCTTTGTGTGATTTTTCGTCTTTGGAGAAAATGAGAAAGTCGTCCAAATAGGCAAAGCAAAAATCCATACCTCTAGTCAGTTCATCAACGAATCTCTGAAACGTTTGGCCTGCGTTTCTAAGGCCGTACGTCATGTACCGGAACTCGTAGAGGCCAAAAGGTGTTGTAATTGCCGTCTTTGGTATATCCTCTTCACTAACCGGAATTTGGTTGTACGCTTTCACCAAGTCTATTGTTGAAAATATTGTACAACCAGATATGTTATGGGTAAAGTCGTGGATATTTCGGATGGGATAGCGGTCTGGGATTGTGCGGGCGTTGAGCATCCGGTAGTCGCCACATGGACGCCATCCATTTTCCTTTTTCGGTGCGAGGTGCAATGGAGACGACCAAGCGCTTTCAGATGGGCGTGCTATTCCGTTTTTAATCATTAATTCAAACTCTTGTTTTGCTACCTTGAGTTTGTCTGGCGCTAATCGGCGTGGTGTGGAACTGATTGGTGGGCCTGGCGTAGTCCTAATATGATGGACAGTGCTGTGGGGTGCTACACATTGAATTCCAGCTGGACGAGTTATTTCTGGATAGCTACGGAGCAAGTCGTGGTAACGCGAATCGCTGATCATTGACTTTACTGAAGAGATAGTGTTCGACGATGTTACTGGCGAAGCTATTGTTGAGAGTGATGTGGTAGTGTCTATAAGGCGTTGGTTTCGACAGTCAACCATAAGACCATAAAAAGACAGGAAGTCGACGCCGATGATAGCCTTCGTGACATTAGCTACGATAAAACGCCAAGAGTAATCACGACGTAAACCGAGATTTAGCTCCAGATGTACGTATCCGTAAGTTGTGATAAGTGAACCGTTAGCGGCATAGAGTTGATAATTGGTACTAGGTCGACGTTCACGGAGCGATGTGTACGGGAAGACGCAGAGGTCACTGCCAGTATCGACAAGAAACTGCATCTTTGTTCTTCGGTCCGAAACGAATAGGCGACCAGTTGTACTGAGGCAGTCGTGTGTCGCCATTATCGACCGCCTTGGCAGTTTTCCGGCTTGAAGTCGCAGGGCTTAATGCATCTGTCTGCCTTGTTTCCAAATTTGTGGTGATACCAGCATGTGGGAAATTTCCTGTAATCAGATCTGGAGCGGCTGGTCTTACGTGCTCGTCTGGTGTTGCGATTCAAAGATCTTGGCCTGTGTACGCGCGTGGAGAGTGCTTGAACTTGCTTTGTAAGTTCGCAAATTTGATTAGCCATCGTCTGTAAGACTGAACTTTGCGTGCGCTCTGCAGCGGCGACTTGAGGTGTTGAAGGCACAATGTCGTGGACGCGGTCAGCTAAGTCTGCTAAAGCCTGCAAATCTGAGGTTGTCTGTGATGCTATCACTGTCTGTATGCTATGTGGTAAACGGCTGCACCAGATGGTTTTAAGGAAATCATCAGGTACGCTAGGTCCAGCGAGATGCTGTAGATGGCGTAGAAACTGTGATGGTCGACGATCACCCAGCTCTTCATGCATAAGTAGCTGCTTCACCTCTTTTTCACGTGTCGCAGAGAGTCGTTTTATGAGCTCGGTCTTCAGCTTTTCATATTTGTCTTTGTCAGGTGGTGAGACAATTATGTCTTTAACTTCTGCTGCGTATCTCTGCTCTAGGGTTGACGTAATATAATAAAATTTTGTTGCGTCGTCCTTTATCCCAGATAACAGAAAGTTGCCTTCCAACTGAGCAAACCATACTGCTGGCTCTTCCGGCCAAAAAGGTGGTGGTCGGACGCCGATACGGCAAATGTCGGAAGGTGTAAATGTCTTTTTTCCTTCGTCCGAATCGTTATCTTTGTGGGCGTTTCTGCTCGTAGAACTATGTGACATTTTAATTATTATTCACTTACTGTTCTGATCCTTCGGTGTTCTTCAGGGGTCACCAGTGTAGTGTTTTGGATATTGAATAAACAACACTTACTTCTTAACTCCACAACGTTTATTTTGTCACACACAATGTTTTATACTGTTTATAATTTACAAGGCCCACAAACACAAGCAAGTATTATATATTAAGGCGTGAGATAGTAACACAGCACAGAAGTATACAGTAAGCAAGTTAATAGAATAGGAAGAAGAAAATTAGCGTAACAGTACAGCGTAATATAATTTTTACAAGCGCAAGCGACACGGATTCACTGCGGAAGTCTGCGGTCAACTAAAGGACGGCCGACGACGTACGCGCAAGTTCCTTTGTTCTAATTATTTACCTGGAGCGTTAGAAGACATTTATACGATACGATTTTTACGTCGTTGGCCTTCCGACATATCAACAACTAGAAGCGTTTTATATAACATTGTGCACGTATTGTATTACATTTATTTATATACTACATACTGTTTATTTATACATTTTAATTTATACATATACTTATTATTTATAAAAATTAATATTTAATACAAAACTAAACAAAATTTATTTTTACAGATAATATCGCAGTCCACCACAATTTCTTTAAACGTTTCTGTTTACACAAAAGAAAAATCATACATATGGCGGACTTATTAAGGCATTCTCTCGGAAAGATAGTTGAAAATTAATAACTAAATTCGACCCGAACAGACATACTCGAAAGCGAGCTATTATAAACGTCGTAAAAGAGATAAAGAAAAAATAAAGTACCATATTTCATACAATGTTGTAACCTTAACGTAGTAGAGCCACACTGAAACTATATAATGGTAACAATCATGAATGGGTCGGCTCGACCGCGGTAAAAGACCGCTCTACCACAAAATAGAGCAAACAAATAATGTTACAGACTATATACATCCCAATGATGGTCATATGTTTTGTGAGGGTTTTAGGGCAAGGAGATGTTCGCCGCGTACCCCAATGCGTATTGGTGGATTACACAGTCATGTCTTCCAAATATTGTGTTTTAATTTTTCAGACATGCATTTGAAGATACGAGTATATCATGTTTTCTAACGACATTTTCCTTTACCGCCGAGCACGTGATAAATACACAAATTGTAAAGTATTTATAATTATAATAATAATTTCATTGTTGCCGGCGGAGATTAAAACCGGGTTTCTCGCGTACAATACACACAGAATACCATTGTAAAATAAACTCAACTTAATACTACTATGTTTCGTATGGTGAATGTAGAGAAACTACACTTTTTACTTGTAACGATGCATTCTATTTTAGTCTTAAGCTGACAAGCACCTCTATATTTTGATTCTTTATCGAGAGTATCTACCTTCTATAAAGAATCAAAGAATAAACATCTGTACATGGTAATGAATCACAGCTAAAAAATCTAATCAACTGTTATTGTCTTAATTTCAAATGCAAATATATTCTAAACAGAACACGATCACAGCCTATGAATCGCAAAAAGTTGCGAAGTCTGCGCACGAGCAATCAGTAACAGCGTAGCTCGCGTAACGACGACATAAAGTGTTCTGTATATTATATTCATAAATTATATTCAGTGAACGTAACTAAGTTTAGAGAAACAGTAAGTAATATGAATTATTGCCTTAATGTTTGCTTTTAATTTTGCTCTGCTTGAAATTTATATAAAATGTGACTCTAATTGGAAATATAAGTAGACAAGAGTAAGACAAGAGTAACACAGTCTTAATTTCACATTTTTATTTTATATTTTACTTATGTTTTCTGTCATATAAAAATCTATGATATAAGTAATATTCATTTACAAAAATAAATGTATCATAATATAATTAGATTAACAAAAATAAATCATCTAACTTTAAATTAAAATCAGCTGATTCGGTAATCATGTCACATTACTTTAAGATGGTATATTATTGATAGGTATAGAATAGAATAGAATAGAATAGAATAATTTTTATTCAATATAGATCACATGTGTAATTCTTATTGAAAGTCATTTTTTACTTTACCACTGGTTCGAAAAAAAACCTCTGTCCTGGGAAGAACCAGCAAGAAGTACCCAGCGGGACTTTTTTTAAAGCAAATTTTACAATAATGGTTGTACAAACTATATAAGTACAAAATTTATTTTAGAAACAGCTTGGAAGCGATCACCTCATTCCCAGGGGTTATTATCAACCATGTATTCATTTATACTATAATAACCCTTTTTATACAGTTTCAACTTAACAAAACATTTAAACTTGCTAATATATATATATGTGACTAGAGGGCTAACTTTTTTGAATTACCTAGCTTTTAAAGATAAATTATAAAACATCGTATCATTAACACTCAATGTTATTTTATATATTTTTATATACTGAAGGCTTTTATATAGATTAGTATCTTTCTAGATCTTCGTGACAATTAAAATTAAGAGTACAAATAAATCGTCATCACTTATCACAACAAAAGTTGTAATTCCACGAGAATGAACCGCGAGCACAGCTATTAATATAAATTAGTTAAAAATTGTTAGAAATATAATGTAGTCTTCGTCGCACGTTATATATAAATGCAAACAATTTTTTCTTTGTCATTATTTGTCTTCAACATATACATTTAAAGTAAAATAACATTTATTTATTTGGGATATTTTTATATAATTCGATAGATAGTTATATATGGTTATATGATTAGCTGATTAGTTAATAAATATATAAAGCAACCATTATTATCAATAATAGTTTTATATAAGATAATAGTTTATAGTTAATACCACAGCCACAACCACCACAACACTGTGTGGTTTCTGCTGTAGGGCTAAAAAAATTTCACTTTGTGTACAGTTTGTTTCTTATATTTTGTATAAATGAAAAAAAAAACATATTTTTATTGACAAATTAGTCGAATATAATTTTAATTTAGAAAAGGGTACTTTTAATTTTTGTTATACTTAAGTGAATAGACAGTTTTTATATACAGTTTTTTATGGTCGAAATACTGCTGTCTGTGGCATACTAGTTATAGTGATACGTATCTAATGCCTGTGGGGTGAGAAGTTGTAATGATGTTCTTCAGACCAAATATTGTTGACAACGGCCAGTCAACGGATTCTAGCCATTTGTGTCGGTCAAGGCACAAGTGTGTGCACAAACACAGATCAACGACTTTCCGTCTTTTCCCAGGCACGGCGGTGAAACATAGCCAGCTTCCTGACTCCGGGCTGCTACTGAGAATTTCTTGACAGAAGCACCCAATAACTGATCTTGGCCGACCCGGGATTCGAACCCGGACCACATGATCAGTAGTTGTGGTTATGACCACTACACCACGATGCAGTTAAAGGAATAGAAAAGGTAAGATATTGTGTATATTAGTATCCTATTCAATACGTGACAAACGAGCAAACAGTCCACGTGATGGTAAGTGGTTCCTGTGGCCTATAGACGTCTACATTTATCCTCGATGACAAATCAAAATGCAGATGCGTTACCACCGTGAGGACTAAGATGGAATGCCTCGTTTCTAGTAAAAAGTGTCTCCGTTTCTCTACACTCGCCATACGAAACGCAGCAGAGTAAAGCTGTTATTTTACGCTGTATTTTGTAAGAGCGTAGTCCCTACCCGGTCAAGCCGACCCATTCGTACTCCGTGCTAATGCTCCGTGAGTTTCGTAAGAAGTGACAAAAGGAATGATAATGAGGATTGGCTGAATGAGCATATAAACACCGAATGTTTAATCGACCGCAAAAACTAAAGATATGATAAAGTTCAGTTTGTTCTCTGCGATATCGTTAGAGGTAACAATATTCAATGAGCTCACGTGACGCCAGACACGAGCGTGACCCACATATTATTATCTATATTGTTATTTTAAAACATTTGCGTTCTTTTCGTTGATTTTTAATTATTTTTAGCCGACTTAAGAAAAGAAAGTGTTTTACAATTCGATTTTTTTATTTTTTTATGTATGTTACGAAATCTTCGTCAATTGGGAACCAATTTTGATTTTTTGTAATATATATATGTTACTTCTTGATCTAGTTTATAAGTTTTAACCTTAAACTTCAATCAATTAATTATGACAATATGAATAATGCTCTATTGAAATATGTACCTATTTGGTTTAACGTCAATAATTTGTTTATAAATGGCAACAAAACAAAATATATAAAATTTAAAATACCTAGTGTAAAACATCCAGATACTAATGCGCTCCTAAATAGGGTAGAGTTGAAACTTGTGGATTCCACCGTTTTTCTTAGAATTACTATTGACGCTCAGTTTTAATGGAGCGCTATATATCTTATATAACTGATAATTAACCAGGAAAGTTAGTTAGCATAATATGCTGTAAGAATAATAAGAAGCCTCAGCATTATTGAAACAATTCCTTTTATAGCGTAATGTCTTATGGAAATTTGCTTTGCACAATAAATAATAGCTATAGAGTAACGGGACTGACATTAAAACTATATTTATTTTGCAAAAGTACGGGTTTTTTTTTTTATAGCAGAGGGGGCAAACGAGCATGCGGCTCACCTGATGGTAAGTGACTACCGCCGCCCATGAACAACTGCAACACCAGGGGAATCGCAGATGCGTTGCCGGCCTTTTAAAAAGGAGTACGCTCTTTTCTTGAAGGTCCCTAAGTCGTATCGGTCCGGAAAAATCGCTGATGGTAATCGATTCGGGTAATTTATAAATTAAATTATGAAGTGTCCCTAAAAGAATATTTTAAAGAAATAAACATGTAAACGTTAGCATCGCAATATATTTATTAAATTGTAATTTACATACATAAAAACATTAATAGCTTAAATAATAGAAAGACATTCATACCTTAAATACTCTTATAAGTCTTATAATGCTTGTTACTAGACTATGCGGCAATGTATATTACGCTTTTACAACAAAATTCAAGAACATGTTCAACGAACAAGTTTAAATTTTTCATTGAAGAATAACTGTATAAATAGTTATCATAATATTAAGGAATGAAAAGCAACTCGTGGGAATGAGGTGATCGCTACCATGCTGGTTTCATTATAATTAATAATAATGAATAATTGTACTTATTTGAAAAATATTGACTTTCAATATGATAGTATTACCGTTACCGTTACAGCCTTTTAAAGTCCACTGCTGAACATAACCCCCCCCACCCATATATTGCTTCATATATATATATATATATATATATTAGGGGATATTTGCAAAAGTTACCACGCTTGGCAAGCGGGTTGGCAACCTCAGTTTTTTTTTTATTTTTAGTCGTTATTAGGAAGACGATGCTCCTCTCTTAATTTGTTTCCCTCAGTCGCCTCTAACGGCACCCACGGTTGATTATATGGTAGTGGATATTCTCACACCGTTACTATATGCATTTTGAGTCATACAAGTCTGAGAAATACATGATCAGAATCGTGTAGTTATTATGTTTAATTAAAATTTTCTATTCTATCCTATATTATAGGCTGTAATTTGATTTTACATTTCTCATTACAGAAAATGTTTCGCTACTTGGTCCTGTTCTATTTCGTCGGTCAGCTACACAACGCTCAAGAAAATGTCAGTCAACAATGGTGTGGTTAACGACAAACAACTGTTATTAGCATTTGTGGTAAGTATTAAACATTATAAATATATATTTTTTTTTAATTAAACTAAAACCAATCTTTTAAATTAGTTTTTTATCTCGAAAATCTTCTTATAATGGATAAAGATATAAATTATCTATCGAATGCTGATTAATATTACTCTCGAAGGTCAACCGGCATGGAGAACGAACGCCTGACGCTGATGAACTATCCCTTTCCAACGAAAAGGAGAAACTGAAGAAGCTTACAAGTATAGAAGGCCTCGAAGGACTAACGAACGTAAGTAGTTTTACCAGGTTTTAGGACTTTTTGGAAATGAGGCTTTCCATCTTAGTCTTCAGGGATGACAACGCATTTGCATTTTGATTCTTAATCGAGGATAAATGTAGATGCCTACGGACCACAGCATCCACTTACTATAAGGTGGACTGTGTGCTGGTTTGATATGCATATTCTATTTTAAAAAAAACTTTTTTTCTATTTAGGAGTCCATCTGGGTAGATACCTCTTTATTACCTTTATCTGATGCCAAATAGTATTGCTTGCGCTAAAATGCATACTTTTTAATTATTTTTTTTTAATAAAAAGGATTAAGCATTTTAAGCCTCATTTGAAAGTACGACTTAATTAAAACTAACAGCAAGCGACGTCCTGCTCAGCAGTCCACTCAATTTTGTAGATTAGCGATAGTAATACTACTAGATAATACTAGAGGCAGATAAAAGTTAAACATGTCATAATATAAAATCGAGATTGTATTATCGTCATTTACCTTATTTCACCTGGTATCCCTGATATTTCCCTTAATTGACTTACGACACGAAGATGAAATGATATAGTAAATTCTTGTAACCTTTTGGAGATTTTTTCTACAAATATACAATTTATATCAGGAATTCAGTCAGCCACTAATAAGTCATTTAATAAAATATTTCAACTGAAAAGCATGATTCAAAATATTGTGGCGCTACTAAATCGGTGGATCCAACAGTATACCAAATGTTGGGGCGCTACTAAATCGATGTACCAAACATATCAAAGGTTGGACCGCCACTAAATCGCTAGACTCAACATTATATCAAATGTAATCTTTATCAAATGTATCTAAATCGGTATCACTATATTATTGATACAATAGATGCAATGTAAATTATGTCTAAAATTTTTGTTATGTATTATTTCTTTCTGTAGAATTCACATTTCAAACAGAAACAAAGTCTATTATATATTCTATTATATTAGTATAGTCAAACGATAAAGTTGTGTAGCGGAACGTTAGAGTTCATTTCTTATCTTTAGGTTATTTTAATAGCAACGTAACAAATATATTGCGTTCAAATTGAAGTAAAATAAGTAATTAACTTCTCACTAACATAAGTTTTTTATGAGTTTGTAGTTCTAAGATCTAAATTTTAACATATTTCCATGTTTCAAAATCTCTAGTGTTTTAGCTTAACTTAGGTGTGTGTGTGTGTGTGTGTGTGTGTGTGCGTGTGCGTGTGCGTGTGCGTGTGCGTGTGCGTGTGCGTGTGCGTGTGCGTGTGCGTGCGCGTGCGCGTGTGCGTGTGCGGGTGCGTGTGCGTGTGCGTGTTAGAGTGCGCGTGCGCGTGCGTGTGCGTGTGCGTGGGCGTGTGCGTGTGTGGGGGCATGAGCGTGTGCGTGTACGTTTGCGTGTGCGTGTACGTGTGCGTGTGCGTGTGCGTGTGCGTTTGCGTGTGCGTGTGCGTGTGCGTGTGCGTGTGCGTGTGCGTGTGCGTGTGCGTGTGCGTGTGCGTGTGCGTGTGTGTGTGCGTTTGCGTGTGCGTGGGCGTGTGCGTGGGCGTGTGCGTGGGCGTGTGAGTGTGCGTGGGCGTGTGCGTGTGCGTGTGCGTGTACGTGTGCGTGTGCGTGTACGTGTGCGTGTGCGTGTGTTTGTGGGTGTGCTTGTGCGTGTGCGGGTGCGTGTGCGTGTGTTTGTGCGTGTGCGTGTGCGTGTGCGTCTGCGTGTGCGTGTGCGTGTGCGTGTACGTGTGCGTGTGCGTGTGTTTGTGCGTGTACCTGTGCGTGTGCGTGTGTGTGTGTGTGTGCGTGTGTTTGTGCGTGTGCGTGTGCGTGTGTGTGTGCGTGTGCGTGTGCGTGTGTGTGTGCGTGTGCGTGTGCATGTGTTTGTGCGTGTGCGTGTGCGTATGCGTGTGAGTGTGCGTGTGCGAGCGTGTATGCGTGTCCCTGTGCGTGTGCGTGTGCGTGTGTGGGGGTGTGAATGTGCGTGTGCGTGCGTGCTTGCGTGTCCGTGTGCGTGTGCGTGTGCGTGTGAGGGGGTGTGTGTGTTTAATTAGCTTTACGTATGTACGTATGTTAGGTGAAAATTAACTATGTGTTGGTTGTTAATTTTCACCTCGCATACCTTGAGGACTAATAATAATATCGATATAGAAAAAGTTATGTAATTTTATCAAAATCGGTCCATAAGTTGTCTGTCAATGAAATAATATTTAGTTATTAATACAAAAAGAGAAATCCTTTTGATATTTTCTACTTTTGCATAACACAATCAGAATATTGAAAGATATGTAATAATTTATTAATAGTTATCATCAATGTTCTCATTTCAAGTCAATGTGAGGATAATTAACTATGTATTTGGTCATAGGATTTTTTGAACAAGTGTTAAATTAAAGAAAAAGCGAGCTTCAATAAGTATTACGAGTATAATATATTATATAGCATACAAAAGTCGTCTATCACAATTTCTATAATACTGCGGATGAAAATTTAATAGCCATAATGTCGGTTCTTTTACCTAAAATGTAAAATTCCCATAAGTTTTATCATTTATCATTTCTTTATTCATATATCATTGCAATTTTTCAGCTCGGCAAACGCACAGCTTACCAAATCGGAAAGTTCATCCGACAACGTTATGGCTCCGAAGGATTGAAATTGTTATCAAACATCTATCTTCAAGATGAGATATCACTTAGAAGTACGGACAAGGAGCGGACTAAAATGACGGCTCAAATCGCAATGGCGGCATTGTACCCTCCAGAAGCAGCTCAACAGTGGGATGATGGTTTAGGCAAGATTTGGCAGCCGGTTCCATACACAGCAGTGCCTTTAAAGGAAGACTATGTAAGACTTATTTCATTATGTGGCCTTGGGAAACACTTTATAATGAAAAATATTCAAGCCTTAGAAAAATATTTAAAAATTATAATCATTGTAGAAAACCAATTTTCTCTGGAGAGTAGTTCCACTATGTACTTTTTATTAAAAGTGTATAGTGGACGCACGATATCTGAGATAATGTATACAATCGGTGTTTCCTTTGAGGAATTGAGGAATTGGATGTCAACTGTAGGAAAGCAAGATCGGATCGTCCTCGGCGTTAATCCTATACAATCTAGGCCTCGCCTCCTTGTCATATTTTTTAAAATGTAAATTTATGATTCTTTCAAACGTGCAAGTATACGTACTCACATTACTCGGTGGCAACAAACTAATCAATATATTTTAACTGAAACAAATGCAATGCAATAACATTAAACCATTATCTAACAAATTAAAAACAGTTGAAATTGAAGAAGCAGTTGATGAGAGAATAATTGCTATGATCAAAAATGATTTAAATTAAAGACATGGATATACTTTAATGCTTAATTAGTATGGACTTTTGCGGAAAAGATCGAAACCATAAATTGGACAACATAATGATCCAGAGGCTCTTTTTTAGTTTCTTTACAAGTATGAAAGGTTTCTGCATTTTCTGAAAAATAATAAGTGATCCCAAAATCTACATTCAATTGTCCTTAAAATAATATACATAATGCAATAGTAGAGTTTCTGACACGAGGAAAAATAATTTATTAACAAATCTGAATAACTTTGTTTTGTGGGTTGGATTAATTACGGCCGACAGGGCTCAGTACTGGCATTTATAACAACATTCTATTCTTGCTTCAATAATACTGTCAAAAAAGTTCTGTCTAAATTAGTGATGATTTTTTTTAACGGAAAAGGCGTCAAAATTAACAATATTTACCGAAATACTGGATAAATTAAAGTATATACTGGATCTAGAAAACATCTAACTATACTACAGTAAACACCTTACAAACTAGCCGTTATCGATACCGTAATGAATGTTTCATCTCAACTAGTAAATTTATACAGTTATGAAAAAAATGCGATGTAAATGCGGAAAATTGTTTACATTCAAATTAAAATAGTTATTTTCCTTCATTGCATCAGCAATAATTGACTTAAACGACTTATATGTCCGTCTAATTATTTATCATTTACTACCGCAATAGTCACGTCTTATGATGCAACATAGCAGCACGCCTCAAGGCCAGTAACGTATACGAAGATACCAAAGAATAATCAAAATACGCGCTTAGATGGAAAATTTTGAAAGAACCACTTCAAGGCTAGTCCATAGCCTACACAATCACAAACCCAATGGCAACTTAGTCGCCTTTCACGACAGGTTAGACAAGTACCTAACACAATTAGCATATTCTTTTTATCTGACTGCAAAAAAATATATTTTCTTTAAGTGTGACCTCAGTACTTTTTTCTAATTGAAAAACTTGAAAAAAATTTTATTGCAACAAAAAACAATCTATACATATCAATGTGGCCCTATCTCCTGTAAAAGGTTAACCTGAGTAACAGGAGATAGTTCCTTCCTATATTTAGCAAACTTTTTTCTAAGAAAACCGATTTTGACTGAAACCGAGTTTTTTTTTATTTTAAAGCTGGTGACTTTCATGTAGTCCCGTATAAATTTTATCGAGATCTAACCGGCAGTTTTTGAGTTATTCTTAAGAACGCATATTTTATTATCTTTGACTGTATTGATGATGTTTTCATTTTATTTATATTGAAGTCGGTTATACATTTTTTTTAAATTTGTCCACTTGTTTGTTATATACAAGGCTCACAAAACATTCCAAAAAAGGAATGTGCTAACATGGCCTATGTGGAACATGGAACCTATAAGTCCCACACCAACAAGTGACTATCCCATTAGTCCTTAATGGTAATATCTAACTAACAAAAACGAGGCCAAACTCGGCACACCTAGTTCTACTCTTCGAGGAGTTCCAGTAACATTCTCCGAAGTACACTTTCAGGTCACTCTAACAAGTCACCGGAGGCAGAGGCGGATTAAATGTCAACTTTGCCCTTGACTAACCCAACACCTCATCGGTACCCCTCTAGTATGAGTAGATTTCATTTATAATAGATATAATATGGCCCATATTATATCTATTATAAATGAAATCTACTCATTTTGCAAATAATTAATTTTTAAACTATATTATAGCTTATAATATAGTTTAAAAATAGCAAAATAATTTAGATACGAGTACCATTAACAGGGGGCATAAATGAAAAATGTGATGGGCGAGTAAGAGCGATTTATTTTATTTTTTAACCTTGCTCACCTAGGCACGTGCTTAGTTTGCCTTAAGGATAATCAGCCACTGTCCAGAGGTAATATCTCATCATAACTAACTTAACAAGCACATTCTTGGCACACCTAGTTCTACTCGTCGACGAGTTCCAGCAGTAGATATCGAAGTACACCTTCAGGTCCCCATAAAATCCAAGACGTATAAGTATATTTATTTATAAATCCTGCGTACTTTTAGCGAAACAAAATGTTGTAATAAAAATCTGTGATTATTAAAAGAACAATAATATCTTACCTTTGTCACAGAATAAATAAGAATAGTACAAGAACAGAAGGGTCACTCTCTGATAGCAAACGTGCGAGTTTAAACTTAGTTACAACGTCGCTAATGTTCATTTTACTTTGCACGCCTCGGAATTGACCTTCGTGAAATTAGCCTACCGTTTATATCGTCAAAAAAAATTATGCGGCACGTGTATTAAATAAAAAAGCACCTTACGAATTAGCCCCGCATACGTTGCTGCGCATTATTCGACTATATATTTTTTGCGGCTGCAACGCGCCGGCCACCACCTAGTATATAATATAATGACGATATGTACCTAGCTCGAAGAGCATCTTCCACTCTCCCTCAATTGTGTGCTCACCCGATACCACTACTTACACACACTATACTAGGAAAGATACACCATCATCTATAATACGACACGTGTTTTGCCCCTAATAGTATAAAATATTAAGTTAAAGGGTTTCTTGCTGGTTCTTCCCAGGACAGAGTTTTTTTTTCCTAACCAATGATAAAACAAAAAAATATTCTTTTCTATTTCTTTCTAGTCCGTTCTATTCTATTCTATCATATTCTATCCTATTCTATCCTTTAGTATTCTATTCTCTCCTGTTATATTTTATTCTAAACTACGAATTATCAGGTAAAATAGACCAGACCAAGGTTGAACGCAAAGAGCGGTCAACATTCGCAGAATTTATTTATCTGCACTATTAGTTTTAACGTCGTTAATGTTAGTTTCCGAAATGTAACATATGACCCTATTAATTATCCTTAACTACTATTTCCTTTTTTTATTCATCAGCCCGTGAAAGTCCAACGTTGAACATAGGCCTCTCATGTTGTTGAGGATTGATGATTGCAGTACCAGACATACTTTTGACGCCGCTTCGCGTCGCCGGTCTGGGTATTTTAGATGGTAACACTGCCATCTATTGCTAGCCATAAGGTCTCTATGACACATATCATACATATCCTATAGTCGCCCCTTATGACTCTCACGGGACGAAATGGCGTGATAGATTCTCTTACCAGACGGTAATTTATTATTTCTTATATTAATTGCTTTACGAGTGTTACAATGAAAACTATATTATGAAAAAAAAATCTTGATTATTTCCAAACTGATAATGTTCTATCAATATTAAAATAAACTACAATTATTACACACACGCATATGCACATACGTGCATACGCACATACGTGCATACGCACATACGTGCATACGCACATACGTGCATACGCACAAACACATACATGCACGCACGCATATGCATGCGTGCGTGCATGTAAGTAGTGTGCGCGCGTGGACGTGCGTATTCACGTACGCTCACGCGCGCACACTGACACACATACGCACAAGCCCAAGCGCACGCGCACACATACACACACAACACCACTAAACAACACATTAAAAATTAACTAACAGTTACCGCCATAAACTACTATTATTTAAGGAATGACGAATCATCTTTTGTACTTAACGATAATATAGATTTAAAAGTAAGAATTAGGGAAGGCACTGTTTCCTGAAAAACAAGTGATAACCTAGTTGATGAGACAGAGTTTCTTTGTACTTAGCTATATTTGGTTGCTAATAAACGTCATTTTAATATCTTTATATATAAAAATTACGTGTCACGTTGTTTATCCGCGATGAACTCCTAAACTACTGAACTAATTTCAATGAAACTTTGCACACTGTGTGCAGTTGGGTCCAACTTGAGAGATAGAATAGTTTTTAGCCCTATAAGTGACCCTCAATATTTTTTATTACGAATTTAAGAATTTTTATGAGACACAGGGTCCTCGGAGAGGGCAGAACAACGTCTGCCTGGCCAGCTAGTTTTTTATAATTAACTACTCATTGGCGTTGTATTATTATCAAATTTCAGGTGCTGATACAACAAATACAAGCCCTAGCTGTCAAATATTGTCTCAAATATTACCAAATTGTCAGATTATCTGACAATATTTGATAGCTATTGGATTGGCCATCACTACAGTTGACCATATTACGTTATTCTATTTTCAGTTACGTTATTACTCCAACTGCAACAAGTTTAAGGAGTTAATGGAGAAAGCTAAAAAAGAATCGATTCATGAAGAGTTTGCTGCGTTCAACGACCTGATACCTACGCTGAAAATCCAAACAGGACGGAACTTCACTGAAAACCCACTACTGTTCCAGACAATCCACGATTTGTTTAGAAGTCAGGTATGTAGTACATACTCGTTTGAAATAAAGTAAGTCAGAAATACGTTTATCTGAAGCGTTAAAACACATAAAACAGACGGACATAACTGCATCACGTGTATATTTTAATTGATTAGGTGGGATAACCATAGCCCACAGACGTAATGTTACAAAGAAAATATCAAATATCGCAAAGACTGTAGCGTCATGTCTGAGGGACTTCTCTCAAACCATAGTTCAAACCACCTCTTATAATAAGATCTTCGATTACGTATCAAAATGTAGATGTGTTGTCACCCGTGAGGACTAAGATGGAATGCCTATTTTCCATAAAATGGGTCTCCGGTTCTCTACACTCACCATACGAAACAAAGCAGCGTTTATTTACTATTCTCTATTTTCTCTCATTCTGAATTAGAAAAACGAAATTAAGTATTTAATATATCTATTTATTTGTGTACTTTTAATAATCTGTTTTTAACTGTCATAACGTGACATTTTGAAATTTTTTCACATTTACGAAACACAGAGGTATCAAGCTGTCATTTTACGCTGGTATTCTGTGAGAGCGTAGTCCTTCCCCGGTGGAGCCGACCCATTCGTGCTACACCTATATAAGTAATATATGTAGCTGCACCATGGCTCTACCGCGTAAAAATTCTAGAAATATATGGTGCATATTAAAATTTATTTATAAGAACAGTAAGAGCGATTAATGCATTAGTACGTAAAAAACAATAATAACGCTCTTACTTAACTATACTAGATAAATGATTCATTAGTATTGTTACCTTAGAACGTACAATGTTATTAAAATTAAATATACGCAATCAGAAAACATCCATAAAAGTGGTTTGTTTCTCGCTAAAACAAAAAATGAAATAATTTCAGTAATCCTTTTTCCACTTGACGTGAGATCATAAACAGATTTTACTTTAATTATTTAACTTATTAAAAATATTTGGTGTTTAATAAGTCTAGCTCATTAAACTATTTATGTAGGAATATATCAAACTGTTGTTGCAAAAGATATTTATTGACAATTTACATATTATGGTGTTTTTTTGTTATGTAAGGCACACATTAAAAAAAAACATTAGCCTTTAAAATAGTCACACACTCATAAAAATTTATGTATCACTGAAAACTAATAATAAGCGAAGTTTATTGTTACATGTTTTTGCCACTGCCTCTTCATAGAATTCTATGGTATCTTTAAATATATCAAGGTTGTTCTATAAGTGATGTGACTTACAATGGCATTTCTACAGCTATCGGTTCTTATAATTGTAAATAGTTAAAATGCTTGTTAATGTCAAAAAGGCTAATTATAAATCATAAAACTAATAAATTATTTACCGTTTGAAATTCGCGTACCGGAGAATTTAAATTTATTATTAATTATGTTTAATCATTTATAAAAATCACATTCAGTGTTTGGTCACATTCGCCAAGTTAATTTTACATCTCGAAAAACATGACGAGACGTTGTTTTCTTCATATTTATTAACTTTAGATTTTTTACTTCAAATGATGATTTTTATAACTTACGATAGTGGTTCAATTAATTATAAATATAATTTGACTTAGGTCCAGATGAAGCATGTAGAATGTTTGGATACAGATTATTCAGGATGGAGAGGACTTGTGATGGGCTTTGATGATAAGTTAACATAAACGAATGCAATACACCAGCATAGATAGACTCAAGTAATTCTAACATTAGTTGGAATCACTAGAGTCTATCTATGCTACTCAAGTAATTCTAACAAGTTAGAATTACTTGAGTCTATCTATCCATTACATCCATTCACAATTCATAAGTCCACGGTTGAACATAGGCCTACCCCCAGGAATGTCAAAAAGATAATACATAGACCTAAGTCACCTACATCCATCGACATCATGAATTTCTTACCACGCCGTCACTCCATCTAGTTCATGAAGATGCTAACAACCGACGGGGAAGAAATGTTATCAAGTGGCAGCAAAATACTGGAAAGTGAAGTGTATTGTAGCCCTACACTGATTGTAGTGACAACCAAATCAAATGTACACTAAAATAATTTAATTTTTTAATATTCTAATTGATACTTTCAGGTCGCACTCGGCTTGGATGTGCCGGAATGGGCTAAGCCTCTTCTACCACGACTTAGCGAAGCATCTAGATTAGCGTATAGGCTGTACTATAAGACGGATGAAATGAAAAAGATTGGTGGAGGTAATTATTTTATTTCATTATAATTATAAAACACATGTTTATAAAGGGTTGCTGGTAAACAGAAATAACTAATTAATTGTATAAAATGTTATGTAATATAACCACCTCCGCTTCTTCTGGATAGGATCTATTAATGTAGCATTAATAAGATTTGATCAATGAAATGTTCGTAAAGTGTTATTAACATCTATATATATATATAAGTGTTATCACTTCAGCCGTTCAGAAGATTAGCTCGGACAGACTGACAGACTCCCACAAAGATGGCATCATACGCACTTGGCAGGCAGTTTGACAACAGTAGTTTTTCTTATTCTTTTGATTTGTTGTCAGGAAGATGCTACAGCTCATCTTCTTTTACATATCCTTCTATCGCCTCTTACAACGCGCACGGGATGATTAAAAGTGGATTCTCGTACACTGTTACCTCAATAGAATTTATAACTAAAGAAATTTGTAAGTTCATTAGTAAGGACAATTCTTCCGAATCGCCCATGTTTTGTAAGATGATCAAAAATTCAGCACACGGGCAGTTCTTCATAATAGCCTCGTCTAAATCAAAGTCACGCCTTGTTTTGTACGGTGGTCAAATTTAAAATTTAAATTTACTTTTCACAGGCGTTATCTTAAATGATTTCATCTCAGCTGCAAACGAGATCATAGCTGGCAAGACCGTCACGAAGAGATTCCGATTATATTCGGCCCACGACTTCAACGTCGGTGCACTGATGGACGTTACAATGGTAATGAATAGCGAGCAAATCCTGCCCGAGTACGGATCTCTATTTGCAATTGAGCTGTATAAAACCAAGAGCAGTGGAGAATTTACTGTTTTGGTAAGTGACCGTTGTATCTAACATTAAATTTACTAGGTGTTAGAACTCACACTCTAACTTATTTCTGCCGCCAAACAGCGGCACTTGCACTGCTGTGTTTCGGTCTGCACGGTATAGAGACACAGAATAGTTACAGGTCATTAGGCATTCTATCATAGTCCTCAGAGGTGACAATGCTTCTTCGGTCTTGGTGTACATGTACTAAAGTTTTATATGAAAAACTTTCACGGCTGTCACCTAAAGGCTTGGCAGTGACTACGAAATTTGTTTTGGCACGATACTGACACACTTTTCTCGCTTCTTCCACATATATCTAAGCATATTACTTACTTACTTATCTTCACGCACAATCCCTGACGGGGTAGCCAGAGAGAACAGATCGCCAAGTGTCACGATCCTTACAAACCTCTTTCGCTTCTATCTAAGCATATAATATATTAAATTCAGTAATATTGCAAATTCTGTCCAAAATCATCCATCTAGAAAGTTCCTTGCCGACTCTGCCACACATATTGCATTTAAATTGTTGTAATTGTACGGTGATAGTTAAACACGTTGTATTTGAATTGTTTCATTGATTCCTGCAAAAATCTACCAAATATTTGTGCATTTCCTAAAATATTTTGTGGATGGCTTCACACAATATTATATTGCTATCAATGTACTGTCACAGTTCTGTAGGATTTAGAATTGGCATATTTAGATGAGTGAATAATTTTTCATTTCATTTTTTTTAAAAAAACGTTACCCCCACACTAGGATTTTCTCCTGTATCGTGGAGGCAGTTTACAAACACAAATTTCACAAGGACAAACATCCAGACCCGGAACAATCATTTGTAGGCCATACAAATACTTGTTCCGTGCGGGATTCGAACCCGCGCCCCCCAGCGCAGCAACTCATTGCTAAGCCACTGCGCCACGGAGCCGTCAATTGAGTGTAAATATTCTTTCAAAATATGTGAAGTCTTTCATCACGCACTGATGTAGGATAATATTGTAGGTATTATATAACGAGTATATAAAGGCTTAGTATATTGGATCTTTCTTCGCAACTTTGGCAAAATGCCTCTATGAAGCAATATGTAATGGATGGGTGGATACATATTTATATTATTGAAATAACACCAATATGAATTTGACACGTGACATTTTACTTAATGTTATGATTTACAAAAATTAATTATACGTAACATATGGTAGGCAATGATTTTAGTCGCCTTAATATTTATTTTGTAAGCGTCGAAATATTCAAATTTACTTTTGGGTTAACCGCCACAACGCACAGAGAAAGAAAACGAAAGAAAAGAAAAATATTTGAATTTAAGTTAAATAAAATGGAATGCAAACTCTTAATTTGTCGTATTGATCTACATCATTTCGATCCTCTATAAACCTTAACAAGTCTACTGCCGAACCTGACCTGCATCCATCGACTTCCAGCATATATCCAGCATATACGTGGTAGAGCCATGCTGCAGCTATATTATGGTTATAGCACGAATGGGTCGGCTCGACCGGGGAAGGACCACGCTCTCACAGAAAACCAGTGTAAAATAGCAGCTTAACGCTGCTGTGTTTCGTATGGTGAGTGTAGAGAACCGGAGACCCTTTTTACTGGCAAAGAGGCATTCCATCTTAGTCCTCACGGGTGACAACGTATCTGCATCTTGAGTCTTTATTGAGGATAGATGTAGATGTCTATGGGTCACAGTAACCACTTACCATCAGGTGGACTATGTGCTCGTTTGTCACCCGATCCTATAAAAAAAAATATCTTACCAAGTCGTCGTTACACCTAAAAGGGGCCACATTACATTTCGCTTACCAGTACGAGGCTGCCACTCGAGAAGCTTTCTTCCCCATCTGCTTTCAGCTGACCTGAACTGCGATAACGTCCATAAACCGATAAACAATAGTTGACAAATGTTGACAAACTCCTTTATTTCTATCTTTCAAAATTATTTTGTTCCAGCCGGTGTATCTTCCAAAAGCTGGTGAGTCGGAAGCCCAGTATCTATATTTCACAGGCTGCGAAAACAACAATTACTGTAATTACAAGCAATTCGCCGATCTCACTAAGAAGTATCTTCTACCAGAGAAAGAGTTTTACAAAATCTGCAACATCAAGACAGAACTGTAGGAGCCCGAGTTGGGATCGTCGATAATTGTTGGATATACAACATGTAAAAAATATCAGATTCAGAGGCAGATTTTCAACAGTTTTGCCATACCATACCACACGTTCAACAGTGTTGCCAGATTTTAAAATTTTGGTGAATTTTAAGCGAATTATAGTAAAAGCATATATTTTAATTACAATAACATTCATTATTAATATCATGTTTTAATTTTTTTTTTGGTAATTTTGGTAATTGTTAATTGAAATGGCACATACTAGAAAACAAAAGGCAATCAAGAAAAGTTATAAAAACTGAGACAAGTCTTCAAATTTTTTTTTAATATTCACATTAAAAATGATTGTAAGAGGTTTTGTTTTTGGAAGTCCAAATTTAAATATCAAAAAATTTTGCAAAATAATTACCAATCCAAAAGTGAGGGAAAATAAGTAGTATATATATATATATATATATATATATATATATATATATATTTACGAATATTTTTTATAACCTTTTTTATAAAATAGATACGTAACGTTATTATTAAAGTAAGATTGAAAAGTCTGTGATATTTACATTTAACATTACAAAGGAAAATATTGTTAAAGTCTAAAACGCTTTTTAAAATAGGCTATTCAGTGTGTGTATTTTAAAAGTTATCCTCGATTTTTAAAATACGTCTTTCGAAAACAACTTCGCTAGGTAATTCAATCATCAATTTTAATGAAAAATATACTTGTTGTTATTTTCATAAAATGTATTAAAATTTTGTAAATGGCGAAAACTAAATGAAAACAATTTTTAAATTGGAAATGTATATTTATTGCTTGTTCCACAACTATGTGAGCTGAAATATTTTTGATATTTTTCGTAGACAGATCGAGCATTGAGTTTTTAACATATGTTTTTTAACGAAAGATCTGAAATATATTCTACTGGAAATGAAGCGCTCCATCTTGGTCGCTGGAAATGACATCACCATCAAAATGCAAGTGCATTTTGATTCGTAATTGAGAATAGATGAAGATGTCTACTGTATCTACTTACTATTATATGGGCTGAGCACTCGTTTGTCACTCTTGTGCTATAAAAAATGGTTATACATTTTTTTATATAAAGTATTTTATTATAAAACGGAAAGTTTACCAAATAAAAAAGTGATGAATTCTGCTATTTCATTCATTTTCAGAAATTAAAAGTAGTAAAATATTGTAAAAGATTTTCGCCTTTAATACATAAAAAATAATTAACTGCAGTCTGAAAGTTTATATTTATACCCAGCAGAAATGGACTGACTGCATTTCCGTTGTTAATCAATAAATTATATTTTATACTAGTTGTATCTGAGACTTCTTTCGCAAAGAAACTTTGTTTGTAAATTATTTGTTTTGAAGTTTTATTACTTTTTGCATATGTGATAATGTTTTGAAAACTACACAAAATTTCGAATTCAAGCCGTTATATTATAATCATTCCTATAGTTATAAAGAGTAATTTCATCATTAAACCGATCAAGTGCATTGATGACTTGAACACCGAGAGTGACGTTACGTTCAATATTATATAAAAAATAAAACTAAGTAATGCAAATATGTACGAAAAATATATCAAAACTAAGGGATAGGAATCTAAAAAAATATAGGGTTCCTTGCATTGCAAACTTCAATGATACGGATGGAACGATAACTTGTTTGCCGTGTAATTGCTGCGTAAATACATTTATCACCATGTTACGTCCCGGGGCTGTAGTAAAAGGCAAAGGAAACGCCAGAAAAATCTTATGGCTCTCGATATTCTACGTCAGAGCGAGACAAAACACTCAGGTCGGCAGCATCAATAGCGCGAGACGTCGTGTATTGCAATAGACTACCAAACGTAACAATTATGGTTAATCCCACCTACAGTCGGAGAGTCCCATTTCGTGCAGTAGACTTTTACTGACTGGTGGTGAAGAAGATGCTGAATAGATAATGCCTTTGATATTCTTGGTACACAAAGTGATGCGAAAAATTCTTCGATCTTACCCTCTCTAAACTTTGGATGCGCTCTTGCAATGTTGCATTATTCATAGTCATTGTAGTGTTTCTAGTTTGGTACAGGCATTAAGGTATATTTATAGGGACTTTAGTGCTTGTGTCAGGATCAACGGGGTCTACACGGACTGTTTTGACATCCATAAAGGTAACCTTTTAATGAACAGTTGTTGGAAACTTTGAAAATTGAAGAATGTGTACGCCGACGATCAAATCATATTTACATCGTCGGCGGCCGAGCTGCAAATGATGGTTACATTAATGAACAGGACATTAAAAAAAAGGGAATGAAAGTGAAAGCAAGTAAGACAAATGTTTTGGTTTTTGAAAGAGAAGAAAGTAAAACAATAGGATGGAAGAATACAAGGGGAGTTGGTTATGGGAAGGGAATCGCATTGAAATGAAGAATTTATTGGCTGGATATTTTGGTAGTTAGACTTCTTCTGTCAGCCAGTTAGTAGGCTAACCGCATGCAGGTAAGGTTGACTGTTTGTATATAGCTGCTATATTTCATATGACGAGAACTGGAGGCCCTTTTTACAACCAGTTTTCTCAATATTGCAGACAGAAACTTGAATTTTATTTATTTGTGTATGTATAGATGTATATCATCATTATCATTAGCGTTATGAGATGTGCAATAAATGCTTAATCTCAAGCTTCACAACATCAACGTTTGTGTAATAACATATTCTAGCTTCATATTTTTACATTTTCCTCACAAAACTGAAAACATAAACGAATCTACAGTCCACCACTTCATACATAGAAAGCTACAGATCCATTATCTCTCTTGAAGACTATGATGCAATGCCTCATAGCGTGTAATTATATTGTCTCTCTCTACTCTCCAGACAAGTACAGCAATACTAACACTGCTATTTAGCCCATAAATATATGTAAGACGATGGTGCCTGCACAGACAGAAAGGAAAATCTACCACCAAGTACAACTTAGTGCATCTTTTAAATTTCAACTAAGGATTATCTCTAAATTTCAGCCAAAGACTTTGCAAACATTAAAGAAAAGTTACAGCTTATATACGTCCCACTGCTGGGAACAAGCCTCCTCTCATTTCTACAAGGATCTCTTAGACAAGGAACTGTCCGTCGCGCTGCCCTAATGCGTGTTGGCGGACTTCTTATGTAAATATAAATATTCTAATTGGTGTAGTGATCGAACCCAGACTATACTCGTAGTCTGGGTTCGTAGTCTGGGTTCGTATACACTATTACAGACGTATACACTACTTACAGAATATCAGCAAAACAAGCTCTACTAAATGCTGCTGTATTTTGTATGAGGAGTGTAAAGAACCATATACCCTTTTATCTGGTAACGAAACTTTCCATCTTCTTTACTCTAGCATCTATATTTTGATTCGTGTTCGAGTATAGATATAGGTAGTATTAGACCATAACTATGGCTGACCATCAGTTGGACTGTGTGCTCGTTTGTCACCCTTTACCTTAAATTTTAAGAAATATTAACTGGTATGCTCTTGATTTTTAAACTCAACTATATTTCAAACAGAACCACAAAATAAAACTTGAAGAGAAAACACGATCTTAACTTGTGAACCGCGAAAGTCGCTAAGTCTGCGCACGAGCACTCAGTAATAGCGTAGATCGCGCTACGGCGACACAAAACAGTTTATATATTTATCTAAATTCAGTGAACTTAACCAAGTTTACAGAAACGGTAAGCAATCTTAATTTTAGGCTCAATGTTTTCTTTTGCTCTAGTTGAAATTAAAAAAAAATACTTTAATTTGAAATATTACTACTACTAACACTAGTTTTAATTTCACTTTTTGTTTTTTATTATACTCATGTTTTCTGTGCTATAAAAGTTTAAAAAATCTATAATAATAAGGACTATTTAATAAAAATAAAAATATATCGTAGTTTAATAAGATTAACAGAAATAAAAGAAGAGGTTCATGTTCAGTAATAGTGATGATAAAATACATAATATTATGTAATGATAGTAATAATTTATAGGCGAGAGTAGCTTAATAATAAAGGCCACGGATTGCAAAACCAAGATGACGTGGATTCCAATCCGCGGTTCGAATAATGTCATGAACAAATCCTAGCACAAGCAGTTCTGGTTGCAAGCTATATAATATATATAGAATGCAGTAGATTAGAATAATTTTATTCATTATAGATTATTACATAATACTTATTGAAAGTCACCCTTTTGTTTAGTTACCACTGGTTCGCAAAAAAGGCCTCTGTCCTGGGAAGAACCAGCAAGAAAGTCAGCGGGACTTTTTAAAAAAAATAACAACTTACAATCATGTATGTTACACAATTAACAATACAAAACAAATAAGAAAGAGGTTATTATCATCTATAAATTCCTTAATATTATAATAACCTTTTTTATACAACAACTTAGTTTCTTATAGTTTTTGAAAGTTGGGGAGGTCAAATTTTATATATTTTCTGGGATTTTGTATAAAAACGTTAAAATATATACATCGCGCCAAGAATGAATTACTAACTCGGTGAAGTCGAGTAAAACTGGTACTATTAGTGTCTGTTCTTAGTACTTACATAATGCATATCACTTATTTCTGTAAAACTAATTTTAATTTTGTGTACGTACATTAAGTTTTCATATATGTTTTGAGAGGCAAAAGTTAATATATTAATTTACTTAAATTTTTGTCGCAGTGACTCTCTAGACTTTAAATCATAGATTGCTCTTGTGGCGCTCTTCTGTAAACAAATATAATTTTAATGTCAGTCACGTATCCCCGAAGAAAAATACTATACGACATTATAGAAATAGCTTAAATAAACTAGTCTAGCTGTTTCAACACTGGTAAGATTTTTATCTTTTTAACAGCATATGCTGCAGAACTAAGTCTGCTTGCTAGTTTTAATTAACGGGGGCCCCATTGAAACTTCGCGTGTAGTGTGATTTCAAGAAAAATGGTGGTTTCGACAAGACTCAGTTCCTCCCCATTCCCCTACAAGATAAGAATGACAAACGAGCACACAGTCCACCTGATAGTAAATAGTTGCTGTAGCCCATAGACATTTACATCTATCTTGCGTTGCTACCCGTGAGGGCTAAGATGGAATACCTAGTTTGCAGTAAAAAAGTGTCTCCGATTCCCTACACTCACCATACGAAACATAGCAGCGTATAGCTTCTATTTTACGCTGGTATTCTGTGAGAGTGTGGTGCTTTCCCCTTTAGAGAATATGGTGCAAGAATGATAAGAAATCTCTTCAATGTTAAAACAGCTTGATTGGTATATCTGAGTTACATTCACAGCGTAATGTCTTATATCGAATTTTACTATGGACTAACGCGACTGACTTTAAAACCATATTTATTTTGAAAAAGAAGGCAATATATTACTTAAATTATAAAAAGTCTCTCAGCGAAAATTTTAAAGAATTAAACATTAACATTTGCGTTCCAATTATTTATTAATGAAATTCTAATGTATGTACATACATAAAAACATGAGTAGCTTAGATAAGAACAAATACATTTATACTTTGAATACTAGAAGCAAACATAAGCTTGTAATGCCAGTTACTAGACTCCACAGATATAGTGATTCATTTATGGGATACCGTATATGCCTTACAACAAAATTCTAGAAAATGTTCAACGGTTCTCAATCAACATGTTTTACTAAAGAATATCTGTATAAAAATTTATCATAATATTAAGGAATACATAAAAAAAAATCTAAATACATTTGAGTAATTGTACAAAATTATTGTAAAGTTATTGTTTAATAAATATAAACTCGCTGGGTTTCATGCTGGTGTTTTCCAGGATAGGGGTATTTATCGAACCAGTAGTAAATCATAAATATTGACTTTCATTAAGTATTATGCAAGTAATATAGGCTGTAACTTTATTTTACTTTTCTGATTATAGAAAAATGTTTCGCTACTTGGTTCTGTTCTATTTCGCCGGTCAGCTACACAACGCTCAGGGAAATGCAATTAACAATGATGTGGTTAACGACAAACAACTGTTATTAGCATTTGTTGTAAGTATTAAAAAACTTTAGTTTAAAAAAAGTACAAATTAAACGCGATAAAATCTTTTGAATTAGATTTCTCTATCTCTTTCTTCTTTATTTTTTATAGGATAGGGTAGCAAACGAGCACACATCCCACCTAATGGTAAGTGGTTGCTGTGACCCATAGACATCTACATTTATAACGAATCAAAATAAAGAATCGAAGTGCAGATGTGTCGTCACCCGTGAGGACTAAGATGGAATGCCCCTTTTCCAATAAAATGGGTCTCCGGTTCTCTACTCTCACCATACGAAACACTGCAGTGCCAAGCTGCCATTTTACGCTGGTATTCTGTGAGAGCGTTGTCCTTCCCCGGTCTACCCGATCCATTCGTGCTACAAACTATACTATATTTTAATGGAAGAAGATACAAATTACGTATCGAATGCTAATTAATATGGCTCTCGAAGGTCAACCGGCACGGAGAACGAACGCCTGACCCTGATGAACTGTCGCTTTCCAACGAAAAAGAAAAACTGAGGAGCCTTACGAGTATTGAAGGGCTCGAAGCACTAACGAATGTAAGTAATTTTACTAGGTGGTAGGGCTTCTTTTCTGCTATGGTTTTAGGTTGACATTGTGTGTTTAGACCTTTTATGTATAGCTACATAGCTATACATAAAAGGTCGGGGAAAAGTTTCTTCGTATTTTATTTAAAAATTTGAGATAATTTTTTTAAAGTTTAATTACATTTAATCATAATATATATGTGCCATTTTGTTCGATAACTTTCTGCTGCCTTGTAGGTGTGATATAATCTCGTTGCTGTAGTAATATTAGGATTTTTGATTATAAAAATGCAACAAGTAGTTTTGAAAGTCCTCTCTTGATGTTAACTTAACACTACTGTTACGGCCTACGGCTGCTCCCTTAAAGGATCCAATCCTCTGGGGCCCATGAGCAGAAGACTTCCCGAGCAGACGTAGGTCGGGCCTCAATGTAGCCACGTGGAACTTCCTAATTACAATAAACCAGATGGGAGAACGTTAAAAAGACATAGTACTTACCATTATCCGAAGCTAACTTCGCACCAAGGCTTGGGCAGGCCGTGAGTGTGTGTAATAGTAGATGGCGAGTAGTGTACAGTGAGGTGTGAATGTGTGGGGCCTTGTCAAGCATAGGCGACCAGCCGCTGCCGAGTTCCAGGCTGCTCCAAAATGCTGCACCGCTTCAGACTGCTTCGGCGCCGGACCACAATCACTTTCCTCTTTCGTTACGATGACAGTCAATTAACTCTATCGTGCGATTAACTAACTTACAGAAGCCACTAACTATCGCGGGGTATAAGGTTACCGCACAAAACGCACACGGAGCCCCTGGACCAAAGGTCGCTACCGTTTCGCGTTGCAACAGTTAGTTCTAGAATATCAGAGGCCGCACTAGCAAATATTGTCGAATGCACTTATACAGATTCTGAGTCGGACCCAATAAGTCCCGGGAAGCTCTCCAGCAGGAATGCGCGTCACAAAATCCTAGACCGTATATTTACGGGCCGCACCTAATTATTCCGAGTTCCCTAACAGAATTGACCGCGTGCTCACGTCAGCACCGCTAAAGACGACTGCTTTTTCGCTCGCGACTCGCGCGCTCCTGCCACGCTCGGCCGAACTTCAAACCAGTTCGCACCGAGCCGAGTGCCCTCTGGCGTCGATTCTTGACATTAGCGTTTGGCGCGAACAAATACTCAAAGAATTCCGAAGAGACCGAAACAGGTTGAAATTTGAGCTTGAACACTTCCCAATCAAGCTCTCTCAATTTTTTCTAAGTGACCAAAGATGTGTGTAGTCTGGCGTTATCATGATGAAATGATGAGACCACTCCTTTTCTGTTCATCAATCCCGATAGTTCTTTCTCAATTTCTTGCTTGAGTCTCATTAGTTGTTGGCAGTAGAGAACCGAATTGATGGTTTTGCCCGGCGGTAAAAGCTCATAATGAACAATGCCCTTCCAGTCCAACTATACACACAACAACACCATATTGCATGTTAATCCAGATTTTGCTACAGTCACCCTTTGATCATGATCTATTTCACACGTTCTTGTCGTATGTGAACTTTCATCACCAGAGATCAATTTTTTGAAAAATGGTTCGGTTTTATTACGTTGCAATAGAGAATCGCAAAATGAGTACAGGATTCATTAGGTTTCTTTCTGTGAGCTCGTGTGGTACCCAAACATCGAGCTTTTTTGTGTAGCCAGACTTTTTCAAATTAAGAAACTGTTTTGTCGTATATCCTCAATTCGTGAACTGTCGTAACTATTAAAATGCCGATCTTGCTTCACTTTTTAAAAAATGAAATCGGCTTTATCTATATGAGGGTGAGCAAAGCGAGCTGCATCGTTGACATCAAAATTCTGGGACTGAAAAAGCTTGAACCAACTTCTACATTAGGTCCATAAACATCGCAAATTTTTTTCACGGCTTGTGGCGCATTTTTCCCTTATTTTTGTAATAAAACTTCTGAATGTAACGAATTTCTTCATTAGATTGACTCATTTTGGCGGATAAAAAACAATCGAAAATGGCGGGAAAGTGTTAATTATCTTTTTATTTTTCTTTTTCTTAATGTCCTCTATGTATTGATATGAGGACCAGCCATATAAATACAGTACAACGAAAGAGATTTTTCTTCAGTTTTATACAACTAAAATACGAAGAAACTTTTTCCCCGACCCATTATTATTTATGTGACTGCCCCTTTGGTTTAGTGGTTGTAGTAGTGCAACTACTTATCATGAGGATCTGGATTCGAATCCCAGTCAGACAAAAAAATCAGTTATTGAGCTTTTACATCAAGAAATTCTCAGTAGCTGCCCGGGTCAGGAAGTTGGCGATGTCTCACCCTCGTGCTTCGGAAAGCACGTAAAGCCGTTGGTCCTGTGCCTGAACTCTCTCCAATCTTGTCGGTTTGCCGTCCCATTGAACTATTAGAGTGAGGGAATAGAGAGTGCACCTGTGCTTGTGAACACACTTGGACACTGTAATCCTGTCCTACACTGATTGCCAGTTCGAGATGGCTAAATTCAGTCTAGATGACATTATTATTATCACATATGTACGTATGTAAGTCAATTTGCGCCTCGGATATTTTGAGAAAAAATAATAATATGCACATCGGAGCGCTTTTATTAGATGTATATTTGTGTAATTTTATCTCAATCAGCGCAGTAGTTTTTTATTGTGTAAAGTGAAATAATAAGTATTATTGGAATAGAGAAATCGATATGTTATATTTGTTCGTACTTTACTGGAAAACTGGTATACCGTATTTAATCATAAAATATATAATTATTATTATTTGTTGATAGTTACTCGTATGAACCCAATATTAGGATAGTTGCCAATGTATTTTATGGGGTTGTTATAAATAAATTTGCTTAGTTCCAAAGAAAATGTTGTGTCCTGCCCAGTTTTAATGGGGACTTCCCACCCTCCCTCAATCGGTCCCCTTAAGTTACGCGTAATTAAGCAAATTAATTTATAAAAACCCCATTATAATGGATTTCCGCAAAGTCACGCCTGATTCTATCAATTAATGTATTTTATAACTATTTCGATACTAGTGCGTATGAACATTTAATAACCATAATGTCACTTGCTTTATTTAACACGCAATCCACTTAAATTTTATCATTTACATTTCTTCATTCATAAATCATTGGAATTTTTCAGCTTGGCAAACGTACAGCCTTCCAAATTGGAAAGTTCATCCGACAACGTTATGGCTCCGAAGGATTGAAGTTGTTATCAAACATATATCTTCAAGATGAGATATCACTTAGGAGTACGGACAAGGAGCGCACTAAAATGACGGCTCAAGTCGCGATAGCGGCAGTTTACCCTCCAGAATTAGATCAACAGTGGGACGAAGGCTTGGGCAAGGTTTGGCAGCCGGTTCCATACACTGCCGTGCCTCTACAGGAAGATTATGTAAGTGTGCTTATTTTATTATATGACTTCTGGGAAGATTTAATAATGCAAATTATTCAAAAATATGTAAAAATGTAAAAACCACAATCGTTGAAGAAAACTTAATAGCAAAGTCCCTAGAATGTAAAATAAGGACCTATTTATTAAGGACTATGGAGATTGGAGCAACTTGAGAATCAAATATTACGAAAAGTACTGTAGATCCACGAGTGCCTCGGTACCATACTTCGTAGTAGATTACTATTTACATTGTCCGTAATGGTCTGTCTGAAATAATGATGTCGACCATGATAGGCAAATAATTTAGACGACATAATTTACAATATATTTAAAAAATGTCGATTTATAATCTACTTAAATGCACATCATGTTAACGTTGAGCACGTTAACATGATGTAAATTGAATATAATAAAACAGAATGATTTTCATTCAGTATTATTAGATGATTAACATAATGCTTATTAAATATAATTTTTTATTTACCACTGCTTCGGAAATTACCCCAGTTCTGGGGATAAACAACAAGTAACTCAGCGAAATCATTTTTTAAACATACATCATTTTACAAATAATTTTGTACGATTTTTTAAATAAATTTTAAGAGAACCAACATGGCGGCGAAACCTCATTCCCAGTGGTTATTTTCATTCATGTTTTCCTTGATATTGTACCTGTAACCCTCTTTGACAATTTTTTTTAATAAAACTTTTAAACTTGTTTATTGAACATTTGACACATTGAACATTTTCTGGGATTTTGTTATAAAAGCGTATACATTGCTCCACAAATATGTATAATGAATAATTAATGAGAGGATAATTGCTATAATCAGTCAATCAGATTTTAATGGAGCCATTAAAATATTTTATAAATAAGTTAGTTCAAAGATTTAAATTAAAGACATGTTCCATTAATGTTTAATTAGTATAGCTGGCCCGTGTTGTGCAGAAATGATCCAACCCACAAATTGGCCAAAATTAATTAATAAATAATCCAGAGGCTCCTTTTGCAGTATATTTACAAGTATGAAAGACTTCTTAAAATAACAAATAATCCCAAATCTATATTCAATTTTATTTAAAATTACATGATATAGTAAATAGGGTGTCTGACACGAGAAAAATTCATTTAAAATCTGAACAATTTTATTTTTGACGGTTGGATAATTTCTGCACAACATTCTTGTTTCAAAGAAATAGCAAAAACTTTTTTTTTCAATTCGAGATATTTTTGTTAGTGGTAAAGACGTCAAAATTTACTTTACCGAAAATGGAAAAAGGGTCGACATTAAATATTAAAACTTACAGTAATCAAGGCGTAGTAAAGATTTCATCAAAATTTATACATTTAAAAGGTTACAAAAAATGCAGTATAAATTCGTAAAATTATTTTTCAAATTATAATAGTTATTATCCTGTAAAATACAAAAATGGCGCAGCAACAATTGACGTAATGTTTATTTGAGATTTTTATTTTAGCAAGATCTAGCTAAAAATTGTCCGTATATTATCGCTTATTTCTATATTAATTATTTACTATTCCATTATTCACGTATTATGACAAGACATAGCTGCACGCTTGTAATCCCTGTGGTGGTGGCAGTGTACAAAGGCAGTGTACAAACGGAGGAAGCTATTCGAAACACAGTTATTCAAAAAAATATGGGGTGATATGGAAAATTGTGAAAGAAAACACACACCCAATATCACATTAGTCGCCTTTTACGATATACCAGGCCTGTCTCACTTCGCGCTTTAGACATGAAAATATACCTACGGTGCGCATTTACTGCGCATTTCATGCACCTCACGAATTAGCCCTTTGTAGGGGACAAGGGGCTAATTTCATGAGGTTTTCACGCAGGAGCTCGGGCTGACGCGCGCCTTACGTTAACAAAAAATATGTTTCTCTTATGAGTATTTACTCATTTGGTGCGCATTTAATGCACATCACGAATAGCCCCTTTTAGGGGACAAGGGGCTAATTTCATGAGGTTTTTACGCTCCTGCTCGAGCTGACCCGCGCCTTACGTTAAAAAAATATTTTTCTCTTATAAGTATTTAGGCACTTTTGGTATTTATTTTTGAGTTTTTATTCAAGTATGGCTTCTCAAAAAGTCAAAAGGTACTTCATAGCATGCGGGTGCTTAAATAACAATAGGGATGTTAGTTTTTTTATTCTTTACTGTCCCTAAGAATACCGAAAGATAAGATATTATTATTTATAGGTAAATCTAGTTAATTAGGTACCAAGTTACTGACGCCATAGTAACAGATTTATTATTTGATTAGCGACCCGACCACAGCTTCGCAGGTTTCGATTTTTCGCATATAATCCCAATGTCCTTAAAAATCGTTCAATGTAAGTAAACCTCCCAGTACTAATACTAGTAATTATGCTGGTGACTGCCTACTAATGAAGATTAGCATAATATACTGTTTATTAGTTTAACACTTGGTCGATAAATGAAAGAGATTGAAAATAGCAGCACTTCTCATTGCTACTGTTTCAAAAAATGTCAAACAGATAAATGATGGCTCCGTGGCAGAGTTGCTTAACAATGAATTGCAGCGCTAAGGGTCACGGGTTTGAATCTCGCACGGAACAAGTATTTGTATGGCCTACAATTAATTGTTCTGGCTCAGGATGTTTGTCCTTGTGAAATATATGTATGTAAACTGCCCCCGTGGTACAGGAGAAAATCCTAGTGTGTTGGTAACATTTTAGAAAACGTTACCTGTTTTTCAAAAAGAGAAGAAGAGAAACAAGTAGTGAAATTAAAAATTCTGTACAAACGACTTCAATATGAATACGCATTCTAATACAAATTATTAAGGATAACTCGAAAATTGCTGGTCAGATCTTGATCAAATTTATATTGAATATATAAATTTTAAGCACCAGCTATGAAATTAAAAACGAAACATCATAACTGATTCACTTAGAAAAAATCTGAGGTAACACACATAAAAATACAGTCTTTTTTGAGGTCGGTTAAAATGTTAAGTAGGTAATTTATCTGAGTTTCAAAGACGTTCACATTGTTATAATCTTATTTTCTCGATGTTGTATATTAACCTTCCTCACATTGAACAATAACTTTCTTATTATTAGCATCGTACTAATATATTGCATAACACCTCAGTGTATTTTCCTACCAACTAATATCAAATGATTCAATATATTATCTCACAACACCTAACCCTACAGTAGGACCGGCCTTAGCAAAGGCTAAGTGATACAGACTCTCGCACGCGGACGTAAGGTGCCTTTTGATTTATTATAGGCGCCACAACAATCGATAGGCTATTTCAACGAAGGTCGTATCCGAGGCTTGCAAAGTATTATGAACATTAGCGACGTTGTTACTAAGTTTTAACTCGCAACTTTGCTATCAGAGAGTGATCCTTCTGTTCTTGTACTATCATTTACTCTATGGACATGCTATGGAAGTAACAAAGTTGGCACATACTTTTTGTTATAAGTCCCACATATAGGTACATTTTTTTAATAAGATTAGGGTGACAAATGAGCAAGCAGTCCACCTGATGGTAAGTGGTTGCTGTGGCCCATAGAAATCTACATATATCCTCGATTACGAATCAAAATGCAGATGCGTTGTCACCCGTGAGGACTAAGATGGAATGCCTCGTTTCCAGTAAAAAAGGTTCTCTACACTCACCATATGATACGCAGTAGCGTTAAACTGCTATTTTACTCTGGTATTCTGTGAGAGCGTGGTCCTTCCCCGGTCGAGCCGACCTATTCGTGCTATAACTATACCAGTAATATAGCTGCAGCATGGCTCTACCATATAAAAATGTACATGGGGCCTATAAGTCCTAAATCAACATGTGAACTAAAATCTTCTAATGAAATTATGATGACGTAATAGTGTATAATGTCTTATTACTTTGAGATACATTTTCTTTGGCTTGTTAATTAATCTAATCTATCTATTCTATAATAAAACTCTAACACAAAGATTTCTGTACATTGAATATTTTTTTTTAGAGTTTTGAATGATATAGATTGATACAGATGCTAAAAAGATTTTTAGGAAGCATTGTCCGTCTGGAAATGCTTCACGCAAAAACTAAAGACCGGATCTGGATAGGACTTTCAGTATCATGTTACATAGAGATCAAACCGTTTTAATAATTATAATTCATCAACCTATCTATCATAGTTGCTGCACAGTAGGCATAGTGTATCTCCCTTTTGGAGCTACAAAATGTTTAAAATTTACATTGTCGTGAGAATAAAAAATTAAGTTATCTGATTTTGAGTTGTTTTTATATAATTTCTACCAATTATTTGCTAAATATCGTAGTTTATATTTTAGTGTTATATAATCAACTAATTAATATAAGACCTAGATGGCGCTATAGGTATTTTAGAGCACAAAATGGTTTTATTATACGCGAGTTATGATATAAGACACATCTGTACAGAGTTTGGTGTCGGACCAAGGGGCTGCAAGGAAGAATCTGGTTGTTTTCCTTTTCTTCAGATATATTTGTTATCATTGTTCACGTTCGTAAAATAAGTATACTATAAAGACATGAGTATCGAAATCGTACTGTACAGAGGCAAAGCGCTGTGATAGGTACACTACTACAATCTTTAGGCGCATGTACATGAGCACTGGCGGCTCTTCACGTACAGAGAGAAACTGCTTTAAACCGGCTCGACCAGTGCTCAAACTCAGGGTTGTGTAAAAAATAATAAGTGTGAAATATTGTTTTTTAAAGAATAATTCATATCAAATGAAATATAAAAAGTGTAAATATGATTTAAATCATATTGAGGTTGCCGCAAGAGACCGCTGATTTTTTAAACAAACGCAATAATTTGTTTGATTTCTTCAGTGTAGAGCAGAGTTATATGCAGTGAACATAAGTACACTGCATATAACACTATATGTATAAACTAAAAGTAAAAGATCTTTTCGATGCAATAGTTATCAAATTGAGGTTTTAGAAGAAATGCTAACATT